TGTCGGAGATGAAAATGAGTTCCCATCATCAGCTGTTAGGGGACGAAAATATAGTCCTGTGGTGGCGCATGATAGTGATCGGGCTGTCTTGGAGATGTCCTCTATTGATCCTCGATCTTCATCCTCTCCTTATTCAAAACAAGATCTCAAGTACACACTCTCTCTCTCACACTTTTTTTTACTAATCCTTCCTTTATCCTTCGTTCCTCACATTATTTTTCTTGATAACATCACCTTTTGTATACCTACACTAACTATCTTGACTAATCAACATTGTAAGAATCAGATAATTTTGGTCTATCAAGGTTTAGGCAGATTTTTAAAAAATTCACTTAGTATGGCTTTTGGAACCTCCAACCGAATTTTGTCACCCTAGTTCTACTGACTATTGGCCGCCCACCTTGAGGTTTATAGTTTCACATTAAGGGTTTTGTATGATTTACAATGAAATTGTGCAGTTCGTTAGATAACCGATCTTTGCTGATAAAGAAAGAAACTTTGGCTTACTTCTTGGTATAGCTTTGAGTTTTTTTTTTTTTTTTTTTTTTTTAAAATTATGCCGAGTTGTTTGAATTGAGGAATATTCATAATTTGACAAGTGCTGAAAGGTCCAAAACTCAATAGATAGCAGGTTCACCCCTCTACCTATTTTCCATTTAAATACCATATTTTTGTATATAAGAGAGTTTCATACAATGATGTGCTGTTGAACGCCTAACCTCACACATCGCATGTTGCGCTCTCACTACCAGATCCAAACCATGCTAGCTTTTACTTGTGTCTCCTTATTGTATGAATTTTATGAACAACGCTCAAGGGGCTCTCACTACCAGATCCAAACCATGCTAGCTTTTACTTGTGTCTCCTTATTGTATGAATTTTATGAACAACGCTCAAGGGACTTTCAATATATTTTGGCCTTAGGCCACTTAATCTGTCAAAGGAATTGTACTGGATGCTGGCTAACTTGTTGACTATGAATTATGAGACGTCTAGCAGAATCGTTCAGTAAAATTTGAGAAACTGGGTTTGAGAAAGGAGAAACTGTGAGAATTGAAAACATAGCACAAGTCAATTTTTTCTTTCTTTCTAACATAAAATATACAGAGAGAGAGTTTGAGAAGGAGAAAGTGTAGGACTCTTGGAAGCATTTCTGGCACATAAAAATGAAGCATCAAAGTCCGTATTGTGATTATGCATTTTTTTGTTGGGAAAAAAGGGAGATATGGTGCTGTAAATTATCTTTTACCTCTGGGTGGGTTTGTGGGGGGGGGGGGAGTTTCGAACTCTGTAGTGCCTTATGAGGAACTACATTGATGTTTCTTCTGCTATTTTTTTACTGCTGCTATACATCCTGGACTGGACTTCCCAAGGCTTAAGGTTCTCTCCATAGTGAAACTTGATAGATGATTCTGTCATTTTGGGGAAAGTTCATGGTTATATAGAGATGTCGGACTCCACAGGAAAAAAATACCCTCTCACGTGAGCTAAATCAGTTTATCTGAGTAGGTCCTTCTTAGCCTATAGGATGAATGATTGTTTCTTTACCTTTTCATTTTGATTAGTAGTGGGAAATATTTTAAATTTATATTTCTTTCTTGAATGAGTTAACATTCTTTAGTGTCTCAAAACCTTTACAACTTATACACTAGTTAATTCAAATATTCCTTGTGGATTTCTGTAGGATTTTAATAGATTGTTAACTCTTGTGGCTGAGATACAGGAATGAGGCGTGAGCTGTTGATTTTTTTAAATCAGATTCCTCAATACTCAGAATTCTTGTTGTTGAAGAGAATAGTAAATAAAAGTGTGCTCTCTCTAGCAACTTAAGAATTTAGATGAGATGGTCACACAATTTGATATGGTATCGGAGCAAGTAAAGGCCGTGGGTTCTAGTTTCATTTCTACCCATTATCAAAAAGAATTTACATGTCCTTGGCCTATGGAAAGAATCAGGCTTGCACACGAAGGGGTGTGTGGAAGAGAATAATTATGAAAATGGAAGTGCATTCTCTATAATGATTTAAGCTTTAAATGAGATGATCATATACTTCAACACGTATTATCTCAAAGTTGGATCCTCTCCCCCCCCCCACCCCCCTCTTTTTTTTTTTTTTTGCATTTAGTGTTCAAGAATTTTGTTGTCCTTACGTTATAATTTTTATGCATTTTTTCTGATTCACTCAATTTTATTAGGAAAGGTAAAGTGAATATGCAGCCAGATGTGGCTTCAGAAGGTTCAATGCCCAATCACAGTGTCAATGGTCCTCAAAGAGAATCCAAACTGGAACTGTTTGGCTTTGATTCTCTTGTAAATATTCTAGGTCTCAAGAGGTAAGAGGTAAACATTCCGTCGTCCTTTACATTTTATTCTTTCTTGCCTACAAATCTTTTATCTTCTATTAGATATATATGATAAATACATCTCCAACCTGTTCTAGTTTGAGGTGTGATTGATTAATTGATTTAGCTTCACTTCCATTCTCCACTCTCTCTCTCTCTCTCACACACACACACACACACTCATTTTTCCCCACGAACTGCCTAAAAACTGTAGCACCGTGAATGACATTGGAGAATAATGGAGTTTTTCTGTTGGTTGAGTTTTGTCTTGGAGATATTTGAATTTTGTAAGACTTGATATATCTCCCTATAAACTTATCATTTTGTGATTTCAAGACTATAATTTTCAAATTCAACTTCCCTTTCCAGTATTTGATATCTGATTAATATTATGCTTCTAATCAGTCTTGCTATTTCAGCATGACAGGTGATCAAATTCAAGCGCCACCTAGTCCTAGAGATGGTGGGGATGTGTCTATTGCTCTTGAGCGGCCCAGGGTACTGTGATAGGTTCTTAATCATCCGTTCTATTTTGCTGAAGTTTTATATTATAACCATTGACACTACATTTTGGTTTAATGGAAAGGGAAGAGAATGGGGAGGAGAACATATAAATCTATTTCCATATATAAATTATCTGATCTACCTACGCTGATTTGGTACAGACGGAAGAGGAGTAAAAGAATGCTCCTTTTTGTCCATTTCTTGAGAGACTGGAAACAGTTGACGTGGATGGGTAGCATACTCCATTATTAGTCTCTCTACCCTTTTGCTTCCTAACCAAAAGAAGGAACTAGCCCTTCTCTTTTCTTCTATTCTTCTCCTATAGCTGATCCTTTCTGAACTCCGACAAAACATGTAACATGCTTTCAAGGGAGAGTCTCCAATGTAATTCTCCTTTCTTTCATGGTCTTTGTTGTCATATCATATGGCTTCCTCTCTCTTTTTGGGCAGGCTGATGGGGAATGGTTGCAGAAATATATGGCCTGCATCTTTTGAATAAATGCCGAACAGTGGGCAAGAAGGTGGCTAAAGGGTAGAGTGAAGTTATAAGAAGACAAAAGTGTAGAAAAACTTACTTTTAAGTATATGCATTGTATGTTAACATATTGTTGATTAATTATTAGTGATAAATCATCATTGTATGCTCAAGCTCACTTTGAAGTTTAAACTAATTGTCACCATCTTACACCATTCCAAATTGTCAATACCTTTTTGTTAAAGTTCCTATTTCTCAGCAATTTGTTATAAATACTAGGTAATTAACTTTGAAGGCTGTATCTCGTGCTAGCGATTTAGAGGAGGCTGCTAGACCACCATTTTCCCTCTCTTGCTCTTCTTTGCAAGAGTGAATGGAAGAAAAAGTTGATCATGGAACTTGTTGCCATATTCATGTATTCCTTGACACTTTAATATGGTGCTGATCATTCTACTTTAGTAGAATACCGTTCTTGATAATAAGCTGAGATCTTCAGATTTTAAAGTTTTCTTGTCTCAAAAAGAAAATGTTAGTAAACAGAATACATAACAGAATATTCAAAAAAAGTTGAAGCATGAGAGATCCTCACTAAAAAGTTTGTAAGATCTGTTGGTGTCCGTCGACAAATTTTCTGTACTCACTGTCTCAGTTTTACTCATAATTTGTGCAAGATAAGATGAATCTGAATTGTGTTCTTGTGTTATTAATTTTCCATAATGTGGTAATGTGAGAGTGTATGTATTCTTAAGTGGCTGCCTAAAATACATAATCAACAGTTATGTTGGTTGTTCTCCCCTCTCCCCTTCATTTCCTCTCTAGTTTACAACTTCATTTAATGAGGTTTGTTCTCAGTTTTATTTCTGACCAGCATGGAAGAGTGTGATTTTTCTCTAGTTACTTGTTTGGTTTCTCCTACTTCTGTAGTAATTTGGTTTACAATCAATTCTCACAATTACAGACCTTCGTTGGGCTTAAATGGAGAAGTGAATATTCATATTGACAACGTGTTTGTGACTGAGGCTTAGTTGTGGTTATAGTTGTACATTCATCAGAACTTGCACTTTTGAGATTTGATATTCATCGATCACAACTTGCATGTATTGCTGAATCATGTAATTCTGTAGTGATGGGCTGCTCAGTGAAGCTTTGAATGCCTTTCTGATGGTCTCTTTCCGTGAATGCTGTTGTAGCCTACTGCTGTCAAGTCTGGGACATTGATGGGTGTCTTCGTGCCATGCTTGCAAAATATCATGGGGATCATCTACTATATCAGATTTTCTTGGTATGTTTCATCGTATCCATTCCTTTACGTGTTCTCTTCGGATTCTTTACGTGGAAAAGATTTATTATGTTGTAGCTATCAAAAGGTGATCAAGTTGCGTTTCCTTAAATCTGCATTTTAAGGATTGTGGTTAACATTCTGGATGTGGATAACTTCCTTTCATTTCCAACACTCTGGCATTTGTCATTCCCATGTTCTATAAATTCCCACATTGAGTGAGTAAATTGTAAAGCAAATTACACTATGTTTCCTATGTTAGTTATGATTTAGTGGTCTACACACGTCACAAGTATGGGTTGATATTGATATTTTAACCTGCTTCTGTGAGGTACTCAAAGTGAGCTGATCTTCCTTCTATCTCAGGTATTCTCCTGTTACAGAACTTGTTAGGCAGCTGTTAGAATAGGATTGTACATTATATTTCTTTATGCAATGTTAGTGTCTATAAATAGGACTCAGTGTAATAGTGTAGTATTTATCTTAATCTACGTTGTTCGGACTCGGGTGCGGGTGTTTGAAATGGGTGCGTATCTGAGAGTCAGATTTGGCAAAATCTAAATTTTAAGATTTGGGGCTATGAATCCTAGTATGGACATGAGTGCAGCGATCTCGCTAAAAATGCAACATTATAAGAATATACTGATAAATATATTTTAAATTTGAGAGATATTTTTTAAAATTCAATCTTTTGTTTTCTTGTGTTCGTAAAGTGGAATGTAAGAGACAAATTTTGAGTCAAATGTGACATTAGTTATCATGGTCTTGTCTCCTAACCAATTATAAACCTAAAAAATTATGTGTAGATGATACATATTGAGATTTGTTGTCTCAGTCATCGTGGGATTTTTACCCTACAAACTAGTCCAACAAGTGCAAATACTGATCATACAAACAGTAGGCCCATGAAAAGTAAAATGTCAATAGAAGTGGTTAGGCCCAAATGTTGAAATAATTTAGTTGCAACCTACAGGCCCATATAGATCTCTGAAAAATTCTTGTTTCATATATATTGTATTTCATCTTACACGCCACTGCCTCTACGAAATTCACCAAAACCTCAAACACTAGCTCACCTACTCCCTCTCCGCCAAAATGTAGCTGACATCCCATCCATCTCAGATCATCGATATTTTTGTCCTAGTCGCCGAAGGTGAAGTCGGAGCAGCTAGGCATTCGCTCCCAAAATCTGTCTCCTTAGCCTTTCCTTAAATTTGTTCTTGACTCTTGCCAAAGTATCCACATGGGTAGACCAAATATGACACGCACCCCGCACCCTGCACCCGCACCCACCTAGTGTCACGTTGAAACGGGTTCGACAACAAAATCGAAGAGTCCGCGCAATATAGATCTTAATAATATTTTCCGTGCTTTCTCACATGGTATCAGATTATTGGCAAGAATCATTTGGAAAATACGGTCACAATTTCGTGTGCAATTCTGTCAACTATACAATTGATGTTTGCGTCATCTCATCTTTTGCTTTGATATTTATGAAAACCAATAGTGCCATCACACTTAGTAGGAAGTTCGGGTGAGAAGCCCACTCAGCTACATAGTTTGAAAATCCCATGAATGGTTTTGAACGTAATCATATGACTTGAACTTCCGATTCTTGTATCTTTGGAATTAAAATTATCAAATCCCGAAGACGTGGCTCGAAACTTCAAAAGAATCTGACCAAAGAGGAAAACACCAAGTTTAAGGCAAAAAATAGAAGGCCAAAAGCTAAAACAAGGTTGGATCTCGTTGAAAACCCAACACACACAGGTAACAACAACGCAGTGGTGCGTCTGTCTCACATACCAACATGTGGACTTGATTATGGCCACTTCCTTAAATTTTCTCTTCTGTCGGGGTGGCCTAGGAATTCGAAGCTCATCCATACAATTTTCATAGAATTCCAATCACTTTTATTTTTCTAGTAAGTTTTCAACGAGATCCAACCTTGTTTTAACTTTTGGCCTTCTATTTCTTGGCTTAAACTTGGTGTTTTCCTCTTTGGTCAGATTCTTTTGAAGTTCTGAGCCATGTCTTCGGGATTTGATAATTTTAATTCCAAAAGTAGAGGAATCGGAAGTTCAAGTCATATGATTACTTCCAAACCATTCATGGGATTTTCGAACTATGTAGCTTGGTCTTTCTCGATTATGGGCAAGGGGCAGGTGTTCAAGTTCACTTCAAGAAAAAGGCTAGTGAGTTAGATGGAAAGACCAAAACACAAGGGAAGAAGGTAGACGCTCAAGTATGTAGTATCTTGTGGCGATCTATTGCTTTCAAGTTGATGTTCTTGTTTTGTCCATGCAACATGTTCAATTTGGGAAAAGGCTTGTGCTTTATCTACTAATGACATATCTCAATTTAATGATGTGATATTTTAGATGACAAACCTAAATAAAGATGAATTAGATGTCTACTTACTTGGGACACGTACATACAATTATGGAGGAATTTGAGAGGTGGATATAGTTACTTCAAACGTTGAAAAACTATAGGAGCAAAGACATACATTGTTTCTAGTTCTTACACATGTTGAACCTCCTACCGACCTTGATTCAGTGCATGGTCATATTTTGGCTAGTCCTACAATTGATGAATTATTCTCTCGTTACTTCGCCTAGCACCTCTTAATCATGGTGTGGTCTCATCAACAACCGCCAACTCCACTATTCTCGCATCTCAAATCAAGGAAAATCATTAAGTGGAAAGTAATTTAGAAGAAGAAATTCAACTAGTGGATTTCATAGGAGCTTTGTAAGTACTCCTGTTTTTCTTTTTTTGTTGTTGGTTTTTCTATGTAACTAACACTTTTGGAGGTGGCCAGCGTAACCCTTAATGCTGAGGAATACAATGTTACTAGTTTCAAAAAAAATCAAGCATCTCAATCCACAGAGGATTGACGCGGAGGTTTTTTGGAAGATCTCGATGTAAGTATAGTTATTATTATGGGCTAGGACATACTCGTTACATATGCAATTCTCTACATGGTTGACCAACCAAGAATGCTCATATTGCTCAGATTAACACCACAGGTAAGCAAGTGTTTTCTTTATCTCAAGGGAATATAAGGTGTTCCTTCCGTTTCGAGCAAGTAAGCAGATATCTCATTAAGTAGGCACAATTGCTTAGCCTGATACTTCTTTGGATTCTATTGCAAGTAATTCTTTTCTAAGTTGCTCGAACTCGGGTGTGGGTATTTGAGACGGATACTAAGCCAAGAGTCGGAATCAGCAAAATCCAAATTTTAAGATTCGTGGGTGCGAATCAGAGTATAGATACAGGTGCGGGGATACGGTTAAAATTTTCCAATATTATAAAAATATAGTTATGAAGATATCAATGACAATATATATAATATAATCAAATAAGTGGAATATATATATAAGAAAATTGAATTATACCATAAAGTATACTAAACAACTGCATAAATATAATTTATTTTAAAAAAAAGTACACTTATTTTATGAAACCCTTCGTTTCTACCGCTTGGAGTTGTTTTTCAAGAAAAACTTAAAAGACCCTATACTTTTCTCTGTAGTTCCTTTACTTTCTCAAGAAAAAAACTTTCTTTCTTCTCTTCTCTGTATTTTTCAAGTTTTATCCACTTCACGTCCCGCCTCCCTGGAAACTTATTTTCTCTTTCTTTCATCTCTTCTCTGTACTTTTCAAGCTATATCCTCTTTATGTCGCCAAAAACTGATTTTCTCTTCTTTCTTCTCTTCTCTTCTCTGTACTTTTTCAAGCTTTGTCCTCTTTACGTCTCTGGAAACTAATTTTTGCTTCCCCAAATCTTTTCTCGGATTTGGTCAAAGTGGCCGGATCAGATTGATCATATCCGACACTCACCCTGCACCCGCGCTGCACCAGTGTCACGTCGAGACGGATTCGCCCGCAAATATGGAGAGTCCGCGCAACATAGATTCTTTTACTTGTGTTTCACAATCTAGTACCCTTGGACCGTGGGTTGTGGACTTGGAAGCTTCTGATCATATTTATGGTAATAAATCACTATTATCAATCCTCTGTAACTCTAACCTTTATTCTTTATGTCCTTGGTTGTCCTTTTAATCTTGCACCAGTTAGTCATACGAACTCGTGCCTAATTGTGCTATAATGTTTCTTGGGGATTCTTTTATTATGCGGTATCACAGTATGGGACATACAATTGGTGCAAAACACGAATCACAAGACCTCTACTATCTTACCTCTCCTAATTCCTCCACAACATGTCCAATTACAGATTCTTCCATTTTAATTAATAGTCGTTGGGGACGTTTGAGTTTATGCAATCGACAAAAATTGTACCTAGATTGTCTAGTTTGTCCACATTATATTGTGAGTCGTGTCAATAAGAAACATACCCACGCTACGTTTCTATGTGGTGTTTAGCTTTGTCTTGTTTCTATCTTGTCATTAGTTCATTCGGATTTTGGGGATCTAGTAGCATCAATTCAACCTTAGAACTTTGTTATTTTGTTAGTTTCATTGTACTCCTGATGTACTTCAGATTTTCTTAATGAAAGATTAGAGTTGTTCTCTATATACAAGAGTTTTTTTGTCAAATTACAAAATAGAGAAATTTATAGTTGGGAGCCATTCTTTTGTAGCTGTTTATATTCGTACTTTCTGAAGTGATAATGCCTTAGAATACTTATCCTCCCAATTTCAATAGTTTATGATGCACCAAGGAATTGTTAGTCAAACATCGTGCCACACACCCTTAGCAGAATGGGGTAGCAAAGAGAAAAATAGGCACCCTCATTGATACTGCTCGCACTCCTCATTCAATTCTATGTTTAAGTGTGTTTATGGGGAGATGCAGTTCTCACATCTTGCTATTTAATTAATCGGATGCCATTATTTTCCATTCAACATTAGATTCCTTATTCAGTATTGTTTTCTAAGTCATCTTTATGCTCTCTTCCCCTCTTGTCTTTGGGAGCACATGTTTTGTTCGTAATAGCCTTTGCAAAAGATAAATTAGTCTCTCGTGCTCTCAAATATGTATTATCGGCTATTCTCAGGTTCAAAAAGGGTATTGTTGCTACTCACCTAATCTTCCTCGGTACCTCATGTCAATTAATGTCACATTTGAGTCTTGACTTCACATTTTTTACACATTTTTTATCATCCAAATATCTTTGAGGCATTAGCTATACCAATTTATGAGGAATGAATGGTTACTTCTATATCTCCAGCCATAGTACTGCCACTTCTGACTTATCGTTGTCTACGAACAATATAAGGCCCAAATGATTTATGTACTGCTTCAGACCCTGTGCCTGCTGTGGACCCTCCACTTATTACAAACTTGTCTCCTCTTACTCAATGAATTGTACTCTTGAAAGGTATACAATCCACTCGAATACTAACCCCATTACCTTTATAAGTTATCATCGCCTATCATCACCCCATTATGCCTTTGTATTATTTTCATCCCCAAGTCTACAAATGAAACACTTTCTCATCCATGATAACAACTATGATTGATAAATATCTGTTTTACATATGACTGGTACTTTGGAGCTAGTTACTCTTTCTTAGGGTAAATCTACTCTATAGTTGGTTGTTGTTGGGTTTATGCAGCCTCTTTGTATAAGGGGTATAATCAGATATTTGAGCTAGATTACAGTGCTACTTTCTCTCCCATAGCTAAAATAACATTTGTATGTTTTTTTTAATCTGTGACTGTTGTGCACCATTGACCTCTATGGTAGTTAGACATGAAGAATGAGTTATTGAGGATGAAGTGTTCACGGAGCATCTAGCTGGTTTTGTTGCTTAGAGGGTGTCTAGTAGTCCTTTATGTCGATTGTGCTGGTCACTATGTGGTCTGAAACATCCTCCTCGAGTCTGGTTTGGAAAGTCAGACCCAACAATTCGAGAGTTTGGCATGACTCATAGTGAAGTCGATCACTATATTGTATTTGCATTTTGCTCCAAATTTTTGTATTTATTTGGTGATGTATGTTAACGATATTATTGTCACCGACAATGACAAGGATGATATCCCTAATTTAAAGCAACATCTCTTTCAACATTTCAAGACTCAAGACCTTAGCAGAAAGAAGTAATTTCTAAGTGTTGAGGTTGCTTAATCCAGGTATTATTATTCACCATGAAAGTATGTCTTAGACATTCTTGAGGAGATGAGATTGATGGAATGTTGACCCATTGACACTTCTATGGATCCGAATGTTAAACTCCTGCTAGGAGTCTAACAGAGGAGCCCGTCAGTGATCCTAAAAGATATAGACTGCTAGTTGGTAAGTTTAATAATCTCACAGTGACTTGACCTTAGATTTGATTTCTCGTGAATGCTGTAAGTAAGTTTGTGGATTCTCCCAATGATAGTTATTGAGATGTAGTTGTCTGCATTTGGTGATATATAAAGTCGGCTCTAGGTAAAGGTCGAGGAGCTAGACCCATGAGAAAATTGTTGATTGATTGGGCAAGATCACCTTCCGATAGATGTTCTACATCTGGATATTGTGTTTTAGGAAGTAATTTGGTATCATGGAAGAGTAAGAAACTAAATGTCGTTACTCGATCTACGTCAGAAGAAAAACTACAACGTGTGAGCTAGTTTAAATCAACTAGTTGCTCAAAGAATTGAAATATGGAGAAGTTAGTCAATGGAACTTTAGTGTGATAATCAAGCGACCTTTAATATTGCATCAATATGGTGTTTCATGAAAGGACTAAACACATTGAGATTGGTTGTGACTTGATCAGAGAAACGATATACCCTCAAGATATTGTTACAAAGTTTGTGAAGTCAAGTGATCAGCTTGCAGATATTTTCACCTAACTGGTCCTCGTATTAGAGTCTTGGATTGACTTTTTATTTTTCGCTCATAAGCCAAAAGCCAAAAGTTAGGATTTCTAAGTTATGACTTTTGACTTATTTTTAGCATTTTTGCTTAAACCTAAGTGCGTATAAGAATTTTTTTTAGCTTACCTCCTAAAGTACTTAAAAGTTACTTTAGCTCAAATGGACTCGGTACATATGGCTTATATGTGCCAGCTTGAGGGAGTGTATAAAAGGTATAGGACCGTACATAGTATTCTTACATGAAAATGATTGTAATGTAGTGTCTATAAATTGAGCTCACTGTAGTAATGTTGTTTATGTATCTTAATAATTTTTTTCTGTGCTTTCTCCCAACAGCATAATCAGAGAAAGGAGGAAGAAGTAGAAAAGGACACTGTAGGAAAAAGGAGTAAAAGGAAAGATGCAATTATGTGGGGTTGGGGATGGGGGAGTTGAACAAGTATCTATTTGTGTGTTAGTCAAGTCATATCCTTTTATATTTGACATGTTGTGATGCTTTGTTTTCTTCTGTGCTGTAGGATTGTTGGTATGGCTGGGATTGGTGAGTCATTGTTACTCGTTGCTTTCTGTGGATCTTGTACTTTCCTGACCACAATATCATTAAGTGCTATTGCCACCAATGGTGCCATGAAGGTGAGAAAAAGTTGCTCATCAGAATTTGAATTAAGACAAAGGAGATAGCTTCTGAATTTTCTTTCCTATATCAGGCACATGCATTTTCTTTTTTCCCGAGTAACTCAGATGGTCAATGATATCTTTGATTTGTTTTCTCAAAATTAGGGCGGAGGGCCTTACTATCTCATTGGTCGTGCTTTGGGTCCAGAAGTTGGTGTCAGCATTGGACTGTGTTTTTTCCTTGGAAATGCAGTTGCTGGAGCAATGTGAGTATACAGTATGACCCTTTGTGTTAATTGCTACTTACTTGGTGAATGTAGCAAAGGAGGCTGCATTGCTTTCATCAATGTTATCAAAGGCGAAAAGCGCAAAAAAGCTCTTAAGGTCTGTGGGGACTTTAAGCGCAAAGAGGAAATAAAGCGTGGGCTTTAATGAAAAAAGGTGCAAAAGGAGAAAAAAATACAAATATATTTGTTTAGTCCAAGACTAGAAATTATAAACATGAATGACACATTTATGACCAAAGAAATTGAAAAAAATTTATCATAAAGTAAAATATTAATTGTTTAGTGTCACTTCTTCATATGAGGCTCATTAGCAGTGAAAAGTTTGTCTTAGAACCTTGATGATGACACAGAAGCGCACATAAAGCGAGGCGAAGCGCTCAACATGTTTTGAGCCTCGCTGAGGGCTTAAGCGTGCCTTTGATAATACTGGCTTTCATTATCTGACACTACTAGCAAATGAGGTTACATTACTTTCATCATTTGGCACTATCTGTAAGTTTGAGTTAATGTTGCTATTACATATCTGTCTTACAGGTATGTATTGGGAGCTGTGGAAACCTTCCTAGATGCTGTACCAGCTGCTGGAATTCTTAGAGGTATTTCTTGAGTGATATTGTCACAATTGATTTATTGGCTAAAATTTAATGTTTTGAAAAGACTTGCAAATCATAATTTTTCTATGAATACTCCTTGGATCTTGTCTTCTTTTATAGAAGTAATTGTTTTTTGTCTACTTGTATGTTCATGTTTGGTGGTTATCTGTTCTTTTCCTTGGTTATATGGATCATTATTTTCAATGAGTACATTTTAGTTGATGCTTTACTGGGTAATACATTATTTTGTCAAACTCATTTGTATTTCTGATTTTTACTGTCATTTATGCAGAAACTGTCACAAGAGTTAATGGTACAGATATTGCGCCCATTACAAGGCCAAGTTTGCACGACCTGCAAATTTATGGGATTGTCGTGACTATTCTTCTCTGCTTCATAGTTTTTGGTGGTGTAAAAATTATTAATCGTGTCGCACCGGCATTCCTTGTACCTGTTGTATTCTCATTGGTGTGCATATTCTCTGGCATTCTTTTGGCAAGGAATGGTCGTCCAGCAGGTTTATATTGTTTATGCCTACTTTTTTAAGATTGTTTGGAAAGCTCTGTGTGAAGTGTTCTGCTGTACACGCTTAAAAGTCAAGATATATGAAGAAAAGCTTGTTTGACAATGTAAGGTTACACCCTGTCGCTCTTTCTTAGTAGAGTGCTCTTGACCAATTCATTTTGTTCTGGCCTTGAGAAGAGTGGAAACTTATTGCTATTGGTAAGCTAGTCTGTAACAATAAATCTCAATTGATATCTCAACCTCTGCAATTTCCAGCATTTGTATTGCTTCATAGTCGCCCTTAGTACCTTACTGCTTTGAGAAAAGGCCCAAAATGGTCCTCAAGATTTGGACTTGCACTCAAAATAGTCCCTATTCTTTGAGGTGGAGCAGTACTAATCCTCCATCTTTCAAAAAATGGAGCAGATGTAGTACTAGGTAACTTGTACCGTCTATAACTAACAGGATGCCTCATGTGCCTTTTAAGTTCACGTTCTCTGAAATAAAAACTGATTGCTCTGCTCTGCCGAGTTGGTCTCTTCTTCTGCACTCTGTTGATTACGTCTTAGGTTTTAACTTTTAGAAGCTCTTTCAGACAATTGTTTCATCACTTTTAATCGCCACCCCTTTCTTTGCTCACCTCCCACATTCCCATGTGACTGTTAAAAGCATATTCTAGTCTTCAGAATTCATCTCGGATTCGTCAGTGATAGAAGCTCGTAATTGCAATTCGTAGCTCACTGCATCACTATCATCATGTTTACTCAACACCTTCTTGTTTATATTACTAGTCATCTCAGTTGTGCAATTCTACTCTCTTCCTGTTTTTTTTTCTTTCAGTAGTACAAAAAAGGGAAATTAGGACTAGAAGAACATGTCAAACAAACTTAATACTCTCTTCCTGTAAATTAAAAAGAAATATACACAAGAAGAACATGTAGTACACTGAATATTTCTGTCCATTTAAAGCTTCCCAACTACTCATACTGGGGAGGAAAGGCAACAGCTGAATCTTTTGCTGATAACAGAGCTGGGTTGGTTCACCTTCCATGGACCGGAGGTATTCTGTTTGTTGTAGTTGGAAAAAAATATCCAGGACTAAATGTGTTCCATTTTTGGAAAGATGGAGGATTATTAGTGTTCCAACTGAAATAATAGGGACTATTTTTTTGAGACAAGTAACAATTTTATTCAGTAAAAACTTAACCACCCCAGAAAAAGTTGCTATGTTGGAAACTTCACAAGCATCAAAAGTGTGAACCCTATGCAATTACATTGCCAATTCAATATACTAACTCTCGTATTTTGTCCCCCCCACCCCCACCCCCCTCATATTCCGTTTACACCAACAAGGAACAAGCTAAGACTATTCATCCTAACTATCTGGATAGAACTGCTAGTGCCTTCAAGATGTCTACCATTCACCTCTTTCCATACTGTCCACCAAATGCAAGCAAAAATGAATTTCCATCAGTCCTCCCCACCAGTGTTATCAAAGGCGCGCTTAAGCACTGAATCCGTGCATCCGCTAAAAGTTCCCAATATCTGAAGCAGTGTGACGAAACTCTCTACTTCCCAGTCATTAAGAGCTCTTCGAAAGATTAGATTTCACCCTTGTTGACTCCACATTTGGTTGATCATATCATGACCCTTGTTGACTCCACATTTGGTTGATCATGTCATGTTGTTGGAGACTTCTAGAATAAAGTCCTTCCATGACTATCAAGAACAGAAAAGGTGATAAAGGATCACCTTGTCTAAGCCCCCTTTGAGATTGGAAAAAACCTTCAGGCCCATCATTAATCAATACTAAGAATTTGACACTACAAATGCAAAATCTGATCCAGTTTATCCAGAATAGGGACTATTTTGAGTGGAAGTCCAATTTAGAGGACCATTTTGGCTATTTTCTCTTACTGATTCCTTTATGGTCTTATTTCCCTGCCTCCTGTGTTTAGGACGTTCTAAATTTACAGTTAGGATTGATGTATACTACTCATGGATGATAGCCTAGATCTTCAATTGCTAATTTCTCTCTTGCTTGATGGGATGAATGCTAGTGTCACATTTTTGAGAGTTGGACAAAATTTAAATGTTATTTATCCCTTACATCATCATCAATTTAGAAGTAGAGAGCAGAGTTCTAGCTTTGTTCCTTGTATGCCAGCGGCTCATGAAACTCTAGTGCTTTCATGAATGAATGTGGTAAACCCATCAATCTTTTCGTTACATATCGGGGACAGGGAACCAGCCCAGCTAATTCGATTTCCCGAAGAAATGAGGGGGCGCTGTTCCATATTGAGCTCCTAGCCCATCTTCTCTTTTTTCAAAGGTATATAGAAATGGTAGGCACTGCGAGTGAGTGAACTACTAGGGGAGAAAGGGGCAACCTCTCTATAGAAGGGAAGGGAAAGGGTTATCCGCCCGTAATGATTGTAGAGTCTCTCGGGGTTGGAGGTCTAATAGTAGTCACATCAAGTCCTCCCCTTCTTACTCAGAATAGCTACTCTGATCCATAGTTAAACCTGAATTCCTCTTGTTTGCATATATGACATCAAACTCATTACTTTCTGTTGCTATGCATGGTACAGCTGGAATCACGGGGTTGAGTTCGGGATCTTTTAAGGACAATTGGGGTCCTGCATATCAGAGGACTAGTAATGCTGGTATTCCAGATCCTAATGGAAAGATATACTGGAGTTTCAAGTAAGGCTTGCAAATCTTTTTTTCCTTCTCTCTTGTTCAATTTGCGTGGTACTTTTGCCAGGAATAAATTGTCCATTTTTTCTGCCTTTTACTTCGGTGATGCATAAGTTCTTAGTGTGAAACTGGGTCTAATATTTGATTCTTTTTTCATGTAAGTGCGTTGGTAGGTCTCTTTTTCCCTGCTGTGACTGGGATCATGGCAGGTTCGAACCGTTCAGCCTCGCTAAAGGATACACAGCGTTCAATTCCTATTGGGACATTAGCAGCAACTTTGACGACTAGTGCCTTATATCTAGTTTCAGTGCTGTTCTTTGGATCTGTTGCAACTCGAGATAAGCTTTTGACTGACAGGTTTGTCTAAATTGGAATGCTCTTATGATGCTTCTTGTTAGTGCCGTATTCCTAAATGAATTACAGTGGTCTGAGTGGCATAGTTTCTAAAATGAGACTCAAGTATGTTGAGGTATATCAATTACTTCCCAAAATATGAGTAGGTGGTGAGTACGATCATGTGTAGCTAAATATGATAAGCATATAATACAAGAGATGGGTATGTCAGAGACAGTTTTCGGTTTCCTAGTATATTATGAATGGCTCTGTCATTTTAATTATAAGGCTGATCATGCCTGATACTCCTTTTGTAATCTCAATATATTTGGGATTTGAAAGTTTTAATGACTTGTATTTGACCCTTCAGTGCGTAACTTTGTATGAAAGAGATTATATTATTGTAGTGAATGGTATTTCAAAATCTACTTATGGTGCATGGCTAATGCACTCATGCAGGTTGTTGACCGCTTCAATTGCTTGGCCATTTCCAGCAATTGTTTATGTCGGTATCATCCTTTCAACCTTAGGGGCAGCCCTTCAAAGCTTGACTGGTGCACCACGTCTCCTTGCTGCGATTGCAAACGATGATATTTTACCTGTTCTGAACTATTTTAAAGTGGTAGACGGAGGTGAGCCCCATGTGGCCACTTTCTTCACTGCCTTCATCTGTATTGGATGTGTCGTTATTGGAAATTTGGATCTTATTTCACCAACCATAACAATGTTTTACCTCCTATGCTATGCTGGTGTGAACTTATCCTGCTTCCTTCTGGATCTGTTGGATGCTCCCAGCTGGCGACCTCGGTGGAAATTCCACCACTGGAGTCTCTCTCTTGTTGGAGCATTACTTTGTATAGGTATATTCTTCTACTTTTGCTGTTGGAGAACTGGTATTCTTTCTCTGTTTTGGTTGATATCGCTGGAAATATATTGTCTATGCTCTAACTTACATATTTGCTTCACATTGCTTTATCTTTCCCTAGAAAACCATCATCTTGGTGCTGCCTGATATGCATTTGTGTGTATCCAGGAGCTTGAAACTGCTAATATTTGACTTGGACCTTTACTTGTCCATATATTGCTTCTCCCATTATGTGTCCCACCTAGAATTCCTCCCAAAAGGTCTTCCCTCTATCCCCCTTAAGTGTAATCTCATCCATCTGTGTCATCCAGAAGCAAAACTTATTGTTGCTCTTTTGTAGTCATTTCTTGTTTCAAACAAGTGAGTAGTTATTCTAAATTATCATCAGTCATTTTGTTTTTAAATCAATTGATTCCAAGTAATACTGCCCAAATAACTTTGATTCTTGAAATCAAACTATTCAGCTTTTGTTGATGGGTTCTTTCTGAACTTGAGAATCGTGTCAATGTGTCTATTCCGCTGATTGTTAATGGTAATAAAGGACAGAGAAGAAAGTACATCTCTTTTAGGCTTGGCAAAAATGTAAATATTAACCTGGTTTATAATCCTTCTAATAGTTTGCTACTTTGCTTGGAGATGGTTTTGGAGCCTTGAAGGATTTTGGGTTGTTGTTCCTTCCCCTTTTTACGATTGGGTGAATCCAATTTCGGCAATATTCTTACTACTAACCTGGGTCATTATCCATCGAATGGTTTGCTTGGAAATGGGTTGGAGGATTTTGGGTCACTGTTCCTCCATTGTCTATATTCTTCTACAACTCGATGTTTTTAGTTTGAAAGAATATAAACTCTTGGACTCAGGGATCTGATTGATTCCCTTAAAGATCTCGTAATTTACTTTTTCTGATTGTTGTTTCTTAGTCCAACTTCTCCTTTCCTTTTGTAATTGGTTGTATCCTTGTGTTTCTGAAAGTGGTAACAGAGAATATTAATATCAGCACAGAGGCTGTGCTAGAGCCATATTTACAGTTCAGAAAGCTGCACAGGGTCTCCCTGTATTATCTTACTAGGAATTAATCATGTCCAATTATGATTCTGCATCATCTACAAAGTTCTATTTACACCAGAAATGTAACAAAATTTCATCTTGATTTTCTTGCTAGAGCTATATCTATCTTCCAAGACTTTTTGCATTTCTCTCTCTCCAAATTATTCACCATATGCATGTAGGTAATTTTTCCCCACCATTTCTGTTGCCTCAGAGAGCCACCATTGTAATTCAGCACTTCAGCAGGTCCCAAGTAGTCTTAGGCATAGTGCACCTGAGCAAACTTTGTTTAGGAACAGCTGCAATAGCTGATCTGTTTAGAAGAGGTGACTAATGCTTTTTGAGTCAGCACCACATAAAAAACATTTGGAACATAACTAGATCTCCTCACCTTCTTGTTGAGACTTGTTCTTTTCTCTTTCTAGGACCCATGTAGACAGTCACATTAAATAGTAGTTTTGGTTTATGTAATACTGGGAAGAGTGAGAATCTTGGTTTATGGACGTATGCCATCCAGATGTAGAATGACCGCCTTCTTTGCCTGAATAGTGGTTACATTGCTGATGAATCCAGACTCCAGTCTTTATTATCTCACTCGTCCTAGCAAGGATTGACTTCCCCACGCCCCAATTTTTTTATTCTATTTAAACGAAACTGAATAGAATTCTATCTTCTTGTGCATTTCAGAGTAATGAGTGTTCTCTTTCTGCTGTTTCTTTTCAGTTATCATGTTTTTGATTTCATGGACATTCACTGTGGTATCACTAGCCCTAGCAAGTCTAATCTATTATTATGTGAGTATCAAGGGGAAAGCAGGAGACTGGGGTGATGGTTTCAAGAGTGCATATTTTCAGCTTGCTCTTCGTAGTTTACGATCTTTGGGAGGTATGTATTTTTCTATTTATTCATTTAAATTTCTATTATTCATTTAAATTTCTTGTCAAACAACATAAAACAGCTTTCGAACTGTCCATTCCTTGTTGTCTTAAAACATTTGATTGCTCCTTGCATGTGTATTCTCTAATTGCTTAAAGGTTGAGTGAAACAAACACAATTTAGGCTTGCCATTGCAGGACCTCACTTTTTCAATTATGTTGTTTACCTACGATTTGTCTATGTGCAAATATATATATATATATATATATATATATATATATATCTGTATATTTTTTTGGATCTTATGTTGCTTTTGATTTGATTATTACAATTGACGAAGGTGTTTCTTATTATAGTTAATTTGTTTGTTACCCTATTAACATTGCTTAATGTTCGGCAACACTTTTTAGTGTGTCAGTGCCTTGCTTAGACATTTTTATTCTGAAAATGTGCATCAGATGGTTGACTGCCATATTATTTCAGAAAGATTGGATCCTTATATTGCTTCAATCTCTCGCCGATGTTTGTTGCTCTTAACCACTTCTTAATTTCCAAATCTGAATGGTGTTTGGATACTACTTCTGCTTATATATGCTGCAAAATGCTCTGTTATTAATTGCAAATAACAGAAACTGAAGAATTTGCATCTTTTATTCTTGGCAATATCTTCAATTTTCTCAAGAAAGGGTTATTCTTGTGAACTTGCACTGCATTTAGACATCCAGAAAGGACATGCATTTAACATCCAATTGTGTATGCAGCTAGTCAGGTACATCCCAAAAATTGGTACCCTATCCCCCTCATATTTTGTCGTCCATGGGGCAAGCTGCCAGAAAATGTACCTTGTCATCCTAAGCTAGCAGACTTTGCCAACTGTATGAAGAAAAAGGGCAGGGGAATGTCCATCTTTATTTCTATTATAGATGGGGACTACCATGAACGTGTTGAGGATGCCAAGGCAGCTTGTAAGCAGCTAAGTACATATATCGACTACAAGCAATGTGAAGGTGTAGCAGAAATAGTTGTTGCTCCCAACATGTCAGAAGGCTTTAGAGGCATTGTTCAGACTATGGGTCTTGGGAATCTCAAGCCAAACATTATTGTTATGCGGTACCCTGAGATATGGCGGCGTGAAAATTTGATTGAAATTCCTGCTACCTTTGTTGGAATAATAAATGACTGCATTGTTGCAAACAAGGCTGTAGTTATTGTGAAGGGTCTAGATGAATGGCCTAATGAGTATCAAAGACAGTATGGAACCATTGATTTGTACTGGATAGTCAGAGATGGTGGTCTTATGCTGTTGCTATCTCAACTGCTTCTCACAAAAGATAGCTTTGAGGGCTGTAAGATCCAGGTTTTCTGCATTGCTGAGGAAGATTCTGATGCAGAGGGACTCAAGGCCGACGTAAAGAAATTTCTTTATGACCTTCGGATGCAAGCTGAGGTAATTGTCATTTCCATGAAGTCATGGGAAGGCCAAGGGGAGCAGCAAGAATCTATTGAAGCATTCAGTGCTGCTCAGGGAAGAATAGCTAGTTATCTGGGAGAGATGAAAGAGAGAGCGGAGAGGGATAAGACTCCTTTGATGGCTGATGGAAAACCAGTGGTTGTCAATGAGCAGCAAGTTGAGAAATTCCTGTATACCACTTTGAAGCTGAATTCAACGATTCTAAAATACTCGAGGATGGCTGCAGTTGTGTTTGTAAGTCTTCCTCCTCCTCCTGCCAATCATCCAGCATTTTTCTACATGGAATACATGGACCTATTGGTTGAAAATGTACCCAGGCTTTTGATAGTTCGTGGATATCGTCGAGATGTTGTCACTTTGTTTACGTAGGTAGTTCTGTTCATACGCTTCCTTTTTCTCTTTTTTTTTTACCTCCTTTGCTTTATCTTAATAGAGTTCCAATTCAATTCAATTTGTTACTTTTGTTGTTTTTCTCTTTTCTCCTGGAGGTGGGTGTACAATATACTAGTTTTTGTATCATTAATTCTTTTGAACTGAATATTTGGGGTAAGAAAATTTTGTTATTGATGAATCTCTAGGTGACTATTTATTAGTCGTCTAAGAAAATGTTGAAATAAAAAAAAATCGTTATTGATGAATGTCAAGTTGGGTAAAGTACACATTGTTCAATGAATCACTCTCAAATACTGTATAATCATTTCTCTAATGTCAGAGGATATGGGGTGGCCTTGCAGTTTTACTTCTGTTGCACATTTTCTTTAAAATTCTTTTACACTAAATTGAATGTCATTGATATACTACTTTTATGTGTCTCTGGTTTCACGTGTATCTTATGGCAATTACAATTTTTCCCTTTTCTGTTTAAAAGAATTGTAAATAAAAAGGTACGAAAATAAAAATAAAAAGGTATGAAACTTCCGTTTATTATTTGAAGTTTAGGATATAATGTTCTCTAAACTCAATAGTGGAATTTATAATAGTACCAATAAAAATACAATTTAAAGTAAATTAAAGTATGGTTAAACCTATGTGAACTAATATTGTCAGAATAATGAAATATTATTATTTTGCAGAGTAATTATATAATCAAGAAATTACTCTCTCCATTTTAAAAAAAATTATCTAGTTTGATTTGGAACAGGGTTTAAGAAAAGAAGACTTTTCAATCTTGTGATTCTAAATAAAAATTATGTTAAATGTATTAAAAAATTCTTTAATTTTGTAGTCTTAAATATGTCATGTGAAAAGGTAAACTAAAGTGTTATAAAAAAAAAAAGGCACATTCTTTTTTAAACAAAGCATAAGAAAAATTGATTCTTTTTTTTTAAATGGAGGGAGTAACACTTGTTTCCTTGTGGTAGCACATTTTCTTTGAATTTTTTTTTACACCAAATTGAATGTCATTGATAAACTACTTTTGTGAGTCTCTGGTTTCACGTGTATCTGATGGCAACTACAAATTTTGCATTTTTTGTTAAAAAAAAGCTGTCTATATTTTAAGACAACTCTTTGTCTGAAATGTAAAAAATAAAAACAAAAGGTATAAAACTTCCGTTGGAAAAGGGTAAAAGTTGCCCCGGCTTTATGTGAAAATAGATTACTTATACCCTTCATTGTATTTTGGGATTAAAAATATCCCGTTGTTATTCTAGGAGATCATAAATATCCTCAAGAGTTAACCCCAATTTTTTAGTGACGTTACAAGTCAAATGTGACTAATTCCTCCACCTAAGCGTTGACAACTAAGATTCACTACAAAAGAACTTTACCTTTAGAGGTGATAAAGTCGCCACAAAATCTCAAAATATTGCCACTAAAGGTTATGAGTGATTTTTAGTGGCGACTAAGGTTCTAACAATCATTCACTAGTAAAATCTATTTTTTCAACAAAAAAATATAATAAATAATTTTTGATTTTTCTAAAATGAATAACTTGCAATATCAATATTAAAAACATCCAATATAATTATGAAAATTCATGAAAATTACTTCTCGATTTACATCTCCTACTATATAATGCATCATTGTACATTTTATGCATTTACATATGACACAAAAATAAAACATACAGTGTCTTGATGTTATTTGCGGTCTTTAGGATAACAACAGGGACATTTTTTATCCCAAAATATAATGAAGGATATAAGTGATCTATTTCACATAGTTTAGGCGCAATTTTAACCCTTTCCCGAACTTCCGTTAATCATTTGAAGTTAGGATATTATGTTCTCCAAACTCAATATTGGAATTTATAATAAGACCAATCTTCAACTAAAAATACAATTTTAAAGAAAATTAAAGTATGGTAAAACCTATATAAACTAATATTGTTGGAATTATGAAATATTATTATTTTGGATTGTTATTATATTATCAATAAATTACTTCCTCCGTTTTTAAAAAAATTTCTAGTTTGACTTGAAACAAAGTTAAAGAAAAGAATCTTGTGGTTCTAAATTAAAGTTATGTCAAATGTACCAAAAGACCCTTTTAATCTTGTGGTCTTAAACATGTCGCAATACAAGTTTAAATTAAAGTGTTGTCCAAAAAGAAAATGGTCATTTTTATTTAAAACGGACTGAAAATAAAACTGACCATTATTTTTTAAAACAGAGTGTATAATAGTATAAATTTAAAGAGTGTTTTTGTTCGGGGGATGAAACGTTGTGCTTTTTATGGATGTTAGTGAAGATAACCTATTGATTGGTTTGAAATAGGTGAAACTTTAGGATTAGATCTTGTTCAGTTAGTCATTGAATAAGTAAAGTTGATACAAGAGTGAGTTTAGAGTGCTCAGAGCCGACAAAAATCATATGTAGATGTTCGTCGTAAATCAGAGACATAGAGTTTCAGGTCGATGACTGTATATTCTTAAAGGTACTATAACCTATAAAGGATGTTATGAGATTTTGGAGGAAAGGTATGTTGAGCCTAGGTATGTTGGACCATACAAAGTTATATGATAGAATTGGCGAGGTAGCCTATGAGATGGACTTGCCTCGAGAGTTAGTTGCAGTACATATGGTCTTCAATGTGTGGATGTTATGCAAATGCTTGGGAGATCCTACACATTTTATTCCCATAGAAGGTATGGAACTCTTAGAAGATTTATCATATGTGGAAGTCCCGATGCCAATATTAGACCGACAGGTCAACAAGTTGCGGACCAAAGATATAGTATCAATCAAAGATACTTTGGAAAAGTTATAATGCATAAAAATCTACTTGGGATGGACACTTATTTCAGTAGCCGCCCAAAGTCATAACTCATTTCATTTGAGTATCAGTTTTACCCATACTTTGTAGTACTGCTTTATTATATGTTATATGTTCAAGTAATTGATATGGACATCATTGGTTCCTTAGAGTTGAGACGTCCATTGTATCAGATATATGTTTGCCACTCTGTGTTATGAAAATCAGAAATTACTAGTTGTAATAAATCATTCAGAAATACGAAGTAACTGAGATTTTTAGAAATTTATTTGTAAAAAATAATTGAATCTACAAAAACTTACCAGAATCTGGAATACTCTTTTTAATAATTTTAAAAGAAAATCAAGTCCACTGAATTCACAGTGTCACCTTAAGGAAATTATTCCCCTCTAGTATCCGAGGTTTGATTTGTAATATAACCTCCCAGGGTAAAATAATCTTAATCAGTAGAGTATAGATACCAAAAACTCTACTGTCAGCGAATCAATCCACAGCAGGAAAGTACACGAAGAAATATGTGTTTTCAAGAAGAAGGAAGATCAGAAAATTCGTAGGGAAATATTCTGAAGACTGAATGGTATTTTATTTATTTATTTAATTAATTAAATGGCCAAAAAAATTATTTTCAATTAATTAGTTGATAACAGAAGTTAACCGAAATTATCTCTCGATCGATCATTTGCCAAAGCCAGCCGAAGCCGTAGCCGTGGCCGTAGCCGAAGTCGAAGCAAGCGAGCGACGACGACAATGTGAGGGGGGTCCCTCTTTCCAACCCTTTTAATAATTAATAGGAGTGTTTATTTATTTAAACTCTCCTATTTTCATTTCCATTACCGATGAGGGACAATTGCCTTTTTTCATTAAAGCATTAGAGGACTTTTCAAGTTCCCAACCTTTCAAGTTCTAAACTTTTCAAATTCCTCTCCTTCCCACTATTTCCCATCAATTCTTGCTACATACAATCTCCCACATTGATAGGGAGTAGTTATAACGTAAGAATGCACGGATAATCGTGTACTTTACAAGCAAGGATTAATTCATCTGGATAAAAAGGTTTCCCCTTGGACTTTCCATAGTGAACATATGTCGGATATACTCGGTCAATCGGTAGATGTGATATTTTTGAACCGTCAAGATTTGGTGTATACCTAGACAACCATATGTCACACAATTAACCCTTTACTGTTTATGATTCTTATGGTTGTGTTCGTTTTAGCAATGAACACCTCCTGGTTTCATGAGTGTATAAAGAATAGACTTTTGACATAAAATTCTCTTTGAAGAGGCTTCCACTTCACACTCACATAGGTGATTTCTAACCGTGTCATCTCGTAGATACACTATTTGGTCAAATCTACCAAACTTAACAAATCATTAAAAACTTTAAGCTTTATTACCTCATTAACAAGCCTTAAAGTCTTAACCTTTTCCTGAACATTGTCTTCATCAGGAGAATGAATTGATTTAATTGACAATGTCGAACCATCAACCACAACTTTGTTTTTCTCCTTGAATCTAGCTCTTGGGATCTCCAGTCTGCTAGATAGAGTTACCGTCATGATGACTTGTCCTAAGCCGTAAACCCATTCCCTTAGATGATCTTTCAACTGCCTCCTCACTAGGCCTTTCGTTAGTGGATCTGACACATTATCACTTGACTTTACATAGTCAATTGTGATAATTCCACTAGAGAGAAGTTGTCTTACGGTGTTATGTCTCCGTCGTATATGACGAGACTTTCCGTTGTACATAACGCTCCCTGCCCTACCTATTGCTGCTTGACTATCGCAATGTATGCAAATTGGTCCAAAAGGTTTGGGCCAGAATGGAATATCCTCTAGGAAATTCCGGAGCCATTCCACTTCTTCACCAGCCTTATCCAAATCAATGAATTCAGATTCCATTGTGGAGCGAGCAATACATGTCTGTTTGGTAGATTTCCAAGAGACAGCTCCTCCACCAAGAATGAATACATAGCCACTCGTGGATTTTACATCATTTGACCCGATGATCCAATTTGCATCACTATATCCTTCAATCACAGCAGGATATTTATTATAATGCAAAGCATAATATTGTGTCCATTTTAGATAACCCAACACACGTTTCATAGCCATCCAGTGAGTTTGATTCGGATTACTAGTGTACCGATTCAATTTACTAATAGCACATGCTAAATCTGGTCGCGTGCAATTCATAATATACATCAAACTTCCCAACACTCTGGCATATTCCAATTGAGAGTCACTTTGACCTTCATTCTTTTTAAATGTACAGCTTAAATCAATTGGAGTTTTGACAACATTGAAATTCAAGTAATTGAACTTATCCAATACTTTTTCAATATAATAAGATTGAAATAATGCTAGTCCCTGGGGAGTTTTGATAATCCTGACCACTAAGATCAAATCAGCAACTCCTAAGTCTCTCATGTCGAACTTGCTGGACAACATGCGCTTAGTAGCATTTATATCATCAATTTCTTTACTCATTATTAACATGTCATCAACATACAAACAAACAATGACTTCATGATTCATAATGTTTTTAATGTAAACACATTTATCAAATTCGTTAATATTGAATCCATTTGCCAACATTATTTGATCAAATTTAGCATGCCATTGTTTGGGTGCTTGCTTGAGTCCATAAAGTGACTTCACAAGTCTGCACACTTTCTTTTCGTTACTAGGAACTATAAACCCTTCATGTTGTTCCATGTAAATTTCTTCCTCTAACTCTCTATTTAAGAAGACTGTCTTTACATCCATTTGGTGGATTTTAAGATCATGCACTGTTGCTAGTGCTATTAACATCATAATTGATGTTATTCTTGTTACTGGAGAGTATGTGTCAAAGTTTTCCAGACCTTCCTTTTGCATGTACCCTTTCACTACCAGTCTAGACTTATATTTGTCAATAATCCCATCAGGTTTCATTTTCGTTTTGAAGATCCACTTTGATCCTAAAGGTGGTTTATTTCCTGGAGGAAGATCAGTCAATTCCCAAGTGTGATTGCTTAAAATTGATTCAATCTCACTATTGCCTGCTTCTTTCCAATAAGTTGACTCTGACGAAGACATAACTGCTTTAAATGTTTGAGGCTCATTTTCAAGCAATAGTGCTACAAAATCTGATCCGAAAGAAACAGATTTTCTTTATCGAGTACTCCACCTAGGTTCCTCACTAATTAGAATATTTTCGTTGATTCTTCTCGTGGTCGTTTAGGTCTTTCACTTGTTGACTCACTTTTAGTTTTATACGGATAAATGTTTTCAAAAAACTCTGCATTATCTGATTCAATTATCGTATTAACATGAATCTCAGAATTATCAAAGTTGTGAACCAAAAATCGACAGACTTTACTATTCACAACATACCCAATAAAGACACAATCTATTATTTTGGGTCAAATTTTAACCCTTTTCGGTAAAGGAACCTCTACCTTGACTAAACACCCCCACACTTTGAAATATTTCAAGTTGAGTTTTCTTCCTTTCCACAACTCATATGGAATTGATTGTGTTTTTCGATGGGGTACTTTATTGAGTATTTTATTATCTGTAAGGATGGCTTCCCCCCAAAGATTTTGCAGTGAACCAGAATTGATCATTAAGGCATTCATCATTTCCTTTAATGTTCTGTTCTTTCGTTCTGCTAAACCATTTGACTGTGGTGTATAAGGTGCAGTAGTTTGATGAATAATACCATATTTAAAACATATCTCTGCAAAAGGAGATTTATATTCTCCACCCCTATCACTCCGAATCATTTTTATCTTTAGATTCAATTGGTTTTCCACTTCATTTTTGTATTGCTTAAAGGCATCAACTGATTCATCCTTACTATTAAGCAAATATATATAACAAAATCGAGTGCAGTCATCAATAAAAGTTATAAAATACTTTTTCCCACCACGATATGTTGTTGACTTCATATCGCATATATCTGTGTGAATTAAGTCTAATGTTTTAGAATTTCTTTCAACAGACTTGTAAGGATGTTTAAGAAACTTACTTTCCACACAAATTTCGCATTTCGACTTATCACATTTAAAATCAGGCAATATTTCTAGATTAACCAATTTTCGCAAGGCTTTGTAATTTACATGTGCCAAACAGGAATGCCATAAATCACTTAACTCCAATAAGTAAACAGAAACATAATTTTTATTAATACTGTCAACAACCATTACATTTAATTTGAAAAGTCCCTCATTGAGGTAGCCCTGTCCTATGAACATTTCATTCTTACTTATTACAACTTTATCACTAACTAGGACACACTTAAACCCGTTCTTAACTAGTAGTGCAGCAGAAACTAAATTCTTCCTAATAGTAGGGACATCCAGAACATTGTTCAAAGTCAACACCTTGCCGGATGTCATTTTCCACAATATTTTCCCAGTTCTGCAATCCTTGTTGTTGCTGTGTTTCCCATGAATAAATCTTCATTGTACTCAGCAGGAGTGTACGTTGCAAAGGCTTCTTTCGCAGAGCAAATATGTCTAGTGGCACCTGAGTCGAGAAACCACTCCTTGGGATTTCCAACTAAGTTACACTCTGATATCATTGCACACAAGTCATCTGCATCTTTCATCTTTTCCACGATGTTTGCTTGACTTTTGTCTTTGCCTTTGTTTTTGTCCTTTCTTAGAGCATGACAATCAGAAGATCTATGACCAGCCTTGCCACGATTATAACAGTTGCCTTTGAATTTCTTCTTGGCCTGTTCTGACTTCTGCCCGTTGGACTTCTTTCTCTTTTTGTATTTGGTAGGAGCTTCTTCAACAATATTAACTCCAATGATTGTTGAACTCTTACGCGACTTCTTTTCTGCATTTCTGTTATCTTCCTCAATCTTGAGCCTAATCACAAGATCTTCAAACTTCATTTCTTTAGCTTGTGCTTTAGATAATTCTTGAAATCGTTCCACGAAGGAGGCAACTTCTCGATCATTGCATCCACTTGAAAAGCTTCATTTACTACCATATCTTCATCAATCAGATCATGAAGAATAAGTTGAAGTTCCTGCACTTGTGATCCAACAGTTTTACTATCTACCATTTTATAGTCTAAAAACTTTGTGACCACAAACTTTTTCAAGCATGCATCTTCTGTCTTATATTTCTTCTCAAGTGCATTCCACAACTCTTTTGAAGTTGTTATTGCACTATAGACATTATATAAGTCATCCTCTAAAGCACTCAAAATGTAACATTTACATAGGAAGTTGACTGTTTCCATGCTTCAACAATCATAAATTTTTCCCTGTCTGGCATATCATCAGCAGGAACTGGAGTATCTTCACTTGTAAATTTTTGCAAACTAAGAGTGGTAAGCCAGAAAAATACTCGTTGGTGCCATCTTTTGAAATTCACACCTGTGAATTTACCCGGTTTCTCTGCTTGTGGTACAAGAGTTCGGGTTGGTGCAACAACAGCGACTGTAACACCATTGTTTGCCATTTTTGATAAACAAAAATTGATACAGTTTTAGTAAGCAATAAATTATAATTGCAGACTTAAAGGAGTATAAAATCACAAAGATTTTGGTCTCCATCAGAAACACAGATTTAATAATTTCCTTAAGATTGTTTGCCAATCTGTGTTATGAAAATCAGAAATTACTGGTTGTAATAGATTATTCAGAAACACGAAGTAACTAAGATTTTTAGAACCAGTAAGTAAGATGAACAGAAAATTATTTGTAAAAATAATTGAATTTGTAAAAACTTACCAGAATATGGAATATTCTTTTTAATAATTTTGGAAGAAAATCAAGTCCACTGAATTCACAGTGTCCCCTTAAGGAAATTATTCCCCTCTAGTATCCGAGGTTTGATTTGGAATATAACCTCATAGGGTAAAATGATCTTAATCAGTAGAGTATACATACCAAAACTCTACTGTCAGCGAATCAATCCACAGCAGGAAAGTACACGAAGAAATATGTGTTTTTAAGAAGAAGGAAAATCAAAAAATTCGTAGTGAAATATTTTGAAGACAGAATGATATTTATAGGCAAGAAGAATATATTCTGAAAGGTTGCAACCCTTTCAGAATTGACATGACCATTAATGAAAGGTTGCAAACTTTCAAATGGTATTGACTGTTCCCGAAAGTTGCAACCTTTCACAACAGTCATGGCAGGAATTTTAAATATAACAGAAATTGAAACGGGTCACGCGCGCGGATCCGAGTCGGGTCGGGTTAACTAAAAAATTGAAAATATTTCGGTTAACTTCTGTTATCAACTAATTAATTGAAAATAATTTTTTTGGCCATTTAATTAATTAAATAAATAATTAAAATAAATTTGTCCAAAAAATTATCGCTCGATCATTTGCCAAAGCCAAAGCCGGAGCGAGCGACGACGACGACGGCGCGAGGGGGGTCCCTCTTTCCAACCCTTTTAACAATTAATAGGAGTGTTTATTTATTTAAACTCTCCTATTTTCATTTTCATTACCGATGAGGGACAATTGTCTTTTTTCATTAAAGCATTAGGGGTTAATTCAAGTTCACAACCTTTCAAGTTCTAAACTTTTCAAATTCCTCTCATTCCCTCTATTTCCCATCAATTCTTACTACATACCCAACAATATGTTATATCAGTTAGTGCAGTTTACATGTGTATAAGGTCAACTAGAGCCTTGTGTATATCCCCTGCATATTGGTGTGTTGTAATGATATTTGAAGCAATATGTATTTTTTTTTAGCTAACATGTTTTGGATAGGCCTGTTTACAAAGGAAACTCTGTCATTTTTAACTTTTTTTAAAAAAGAAAAGAAAATATGAATCATCTTAAAGTGCAACCTTCATTCGAGGACAAATGATCTAAAAAGGAAATAATGTAGCACCCCGTAACTTAAAATACATTAGTGGCTCGTAAACGCCTATGCATAAGTATAATATCGGTGGAATGTATCGTTTAAAATGGCTAAGCATACCATGTTACCCTTATATTAAGTCATTTGAAGGGTAAAGCAAAAGTTTTAGACCAAAGAGATCATTAAAGAAAAGATTTAAGTTTAAAGGTTCATAATGGAGGCGTACTACAAATGATCTCATTTATTAGCTGAATCTGAACGAGCATACCTCCTAATATAAGGAGTTAAAGGACCTACAACTTATCAAATAAAAGGTATCTGAGTCTAGTTTCTATCAAAATAAATCACTTGTTAATACAACTTCTAAGTAAAAAGTTATGTACATTCTATGACAAGACACATGCACTGCCCAATCACTACAGGACACGTTACACTTTAGAGAAAATCGTTCAAACTTCTTGTTTTTTTATATTAGAAGTTTGGGATTTCTTTTTCCATATACTCAAGAATGTGTCAGAATTGGTTTAGAGTTATTTCTTCAAGTCTTGCTCATCTCCAATCCTCTCAAGCTTAAGGTAAGTTAATTTATTCTAGAATTAAGTGTCTTCCTCTCCCTACCTATATATATACTTAGCTTAGTGTTCTCTTAAAGGAAAAAAGTGGTGTTCTTGAAGAATAGAAAGGACAAGGATTCATTTTCTTGGTTATGAGTCCTCTTTTATCTCCACAAATGATATTCTAAGGATGTTTTAAGTATAATTTACGAGTAAGACTCAGGAGATGGTGATACAAGGTCATGACCTCTAATATTTACCCATTATAGATGATGTTCTCGGTAAATAGGGAGTTAGTAGAAGGATGTGTTGGCTGTTTTTTTGAGAAAATGAGGGGTGGATGATATTGTATTGGGGAAGTAAGTTGTTTATAGTAAAACGAAAAGGTAGGTACATAAAATGCGACTCTCATAGTCCTTGAAAGTTTGTAATTGATGGCATTAGTTCTCTACTAACTTAAACTATGAGCTTATAAGGGAATTTGATGTCGTTGACAAAAAATCATGGGACGGTGTTCAGAAGCCATGAGTTTTGACTTTATATATTAATTTTTGATGATTAAGGGGTTTGTTATATTAAACTCACTTGAAAAGTAGATATCGAGAAGGGTGGTTTATTTATAGTAATTGTTGAGCTTGTCGCCTCGTGAACTATATGGTGTTTTCAGCTTGTTCTGCTTTTTTATTAGCTCTTTATAGTACATTTCTATTGAGTTATGTTATAGATAAAGTTGTCATCAAAGGAGTTTGATGACGCGATGTATGATAGTAAGTCCTGAAGTAAGGTATGTAAAGTTGAAACCTCTTTCACAATTATGGCACAACTTGAAGTCTCATGTTTTTCCGATAAATGTCATGTGATACTTGAAAGCGAAAGTTATTTTATTTTATAAACTCTCTCATGTTGGATTCCTAAACCTATATAGTTATAGTACTATTTTCAAAAGTCATTTTTTCACATAACTATATGTTTCTTTAGTTGAAAGTTAGCGGGTGTATATGTTGAATAAATTTTATAGAAGCAATTGGAACAAACTATTTGTAGCTGGATATGTCACAAGATATATGATTCATAAGCTAAAGAAAGTAATTACACATTGTATTATGAGAATGTATGATTTATAAGTAAATTATTACAAGTTTTTGCATATTATTGAGATTATAACCTACTCGTCGTGTGGTGAATTTTTTAGGGCTACTACGATATAACAGTATGTTGTGCACAAAATTCAGTTGAAATTTCCCATCATGGATTCCTCTGATTGCTGCGGACAGACAATACGTGAGCCCTGGGGAAATACCTTGATAGGCCCCTTTATTCAGACTATGAGATCTTAGGCGCAATCATGACATTGGGCTGCATATGTCATACAAGGTTTACTGATCTCCCACAGCAGGTCATCATGTGACTCTCTGACAACAATTAGTTTTACAAAGAGCAAATAAGTTATATAATGAAGTACTTCAGCAAAGTTGTAAAGTAATTAGTGGGACATTAAGTAGGCGTTTGGTAATGTGATATCCATCACGACATGGAAACCTGAGATGGAATCAGTGTTTGGACATGCGATTTTATGCTAATTTCATATCATGAGATGAGATTCCATATTCTCCAAAAACCATGATATGAAAATTTCATATCATGATTTGAGATATTTTAATATAAAAATTGATCCACAAGTTTATATTTTGTTAAAACAAATCATTTATTTCATATGTAAGTAATATTTATAATCACATAATAACTTTTTAAAATTTATCATTCTCACCGACATAAAATTTATTATTCATACCAACATATAGTCACTTTGTCTCACAACAACCGATTGTTGAGTAATTAATTTTTTCTCTTCATTTACTCCAACACCTAATTTATTCTTTCTATCGTCTTGTATTTATTACAACTCAAAGTAACAATGTTGGTTCGTCTTCTCGGTCACATGATCGAGAAACGCAAGTCGAACATAAGAAAATTGTTTGTACTATGTGGAGGATTATATTAAAGACTAGTACACTACAATTTATGTTCAATTTTTTTATTGAATTAAAGTTAGAAGAAGCAGTTACTTAAGTGGAGAATAAATAGATTTGTAATAATTTATTATGCAATTTTATAAATTTTTGTTTATTTGGTAAGATTGAATAAAAAATTGGGGTTTCTTTTAATAGTTCTAGAACTTGTGGATTTTTATGTTTATGAGAAAATATACAACACAAATTTCATATTGCATGTCCAAACAAATTCAATTTCATATCATAATTTCAAATATGATATCATATCATGATACTATATCGCATGCCAAATGGGTTCTTAGTTATCTATCTTTTAGTACGTGTCTTGGTATATGTTTAGTTGCTTATGAGCCTACAATTTTGAGATGATTTTAGTAAAGATAATTAGTTGGTGCTTGTATAAATCTTCTATGTTTGTTACATTATAGTTGGGGGTGTGGCAAATTTGATTTTAATGAACCCATATCTGAAAACAATATTCATGAACTCGAGGTCATGATTAATGATCTAGTTTCTGAAGTAAAATAGATGTCTATATATTTTTCGATTACCTAGATTAAAATTATTCATATCTAGAGGTTCAGAGCACGAAATAAATTGTGGATGCCATAGAGAAAATAATGTCAATGATGAAGTTGACATCGATATAATACATTTGAAAGCAGTTACCTATAAGAAAATACTTATCGCGTCTAGCACTCTTCATGTTCTTTTGGTGAAGTTCAAGAAGACAACACCAAAATTTTTGGATACACTAAGAAAAGTTTAAGATGAATTTTAACTAGATTTAAGTTTTTACAAAACCAGAAAACACTAAAATTATATTTCATTAAATTTTCATAGATATTTTTGTAAATTTAGAGAATTATTGATTTATAATATTAATGGGACCATATATTTATATAGAGGGTCTTCTGAAAATATATTTTCATAATATCTTATCAAAATATGTAGTTTTTTCACTAGCCCAAGTAGGGATTAAAATGGATTGACTTTTAAAATTTCACTAAATGATCGTAGATATTTTTTCCACACTGCATTCATGAATTCAAGGTCATGCGACTTTGAATGTCCACAATTGAATATTATCGTGTATTATGACAAATAATTAGGGTCGTTCGGTAGGGTGTACAAAAATAATGTTAAATAAAGTGTGTTAGTTGTGCTTGTAATATTAGTTATGCTTGCATTAGTCATACATAGATTATTTTTATGCAGTTTTTTGTTTAGTGTATTAAAAAAATAAGCATTGCATAAAATATTTATTTACAAAAATATCCTTCATAATTGTGGTAAAGAAAATGTAAAAGGGGTTTTAAGGGTTAATTGGGTCTTTAATCGTGCTAATGTATGTATTGAATTCCTTTGCATTACTAATACCTACAATTTCATGGTATTTATAATACAAATCTGAATACACAATGAAGTGTATTAGCTATGCATAGCATGAAACAATATATCAAACAAGGTACTACTAATGCACAAATCTAATGCATGTATTATTTTTTCTAATGCACTCTACCAAACGACTAGGACATGAGGAAACAAACTTATCAAACTTACTAGAAGGATTTTAAGTTTTAACTAAAAACTCGAAAGTTGAATCTTAAACCTAAAACAAAAAATTTCTAACGAAAGAAATCTAACAAGATAGTGCAAACTGCTAAATAAAGATAGGGAAGGAAAACTAATTAAATTAAATTAATAAAATTAAATAATAATTTGAGAAAAATAAAAGATGACAATTATGTCTATTATAAAGTCTTTTAATGAAGGCAAAAATGAAAGTTTTGGGTCGTGGGTCGCCCATGTGGATCGATCCGATCCGATTTGTTTTAGTGTCTTATCCAATTAATTAATTAATTATTTAGGATAAATCATTTTAAAGGATAAGGTAGAATAGTTACATTGTAACTGCTCAATCCCTCTTTAAAAGACTCCTAGTTAGAGTATTTACTAACGTACATGAAACATGAAATAGAGAGGAAATTTGTGTGAACAGAAGACCAAAAACAAGCGATAAGTCAAGAGACATAGAAGTGAGTTTCTCAAAAAAATTAATCAACACAGTGAGCAAACTTCTAGTTTTTGAATACAGATCTTTGTTTCCTAGTGTTTCAAAGATGGACTTGAGCACCAATTTGTAAGGAAATCGACGACTTCCGCTGCAAATTACAAGGTACACATATCGTTGTTGATTTACCTTAATAATTCAGAGAAATTATTATTAATCTCATTATGTGTTGCATTCTTGGCTATTCACTTTGTATGTTTATAAGAAATTAAATTGAATATATTTCTTTTAAAAATCAGTGAATAGAAAGAAGAAAGAAAAAGAATTGGAATAAGTTAAATTTTTTTGACGTTTAATTGTGGATTAATAATATGGTAAATAGGATTCAAAATCCTATTTTTTGTGACTCATGAAACATATAAGAGTACTTGTCCTACTAAGAAAATAATTCGGCATTTATTTTTTTAAAACAATTGTTTCTGTTTAATAGCAATCTGAAAATTGATTGGAAGATATTTTTGTTGAAACATATTTTATCATAATTTGCTTGTGCATAACTTTCACGAAAATATATTATAATAGAGACACGAAATTAAAACGAGTAAGATATGAATTGTTGAAAAATTAGATATTTTTTTGACAATTTTTTAAAAAATTGCATTTGTTTGGAGCAATCTTGAAATTCGTTGTGCAGTTTTTGGGTGGAAAATATTTTTTTATGACTTGCTCATTTTAAATCTTCTGAAAATATATTATAATAGAGAAACAAACTTAAAATGAGTAAGATATGAACGTTTTAAGTTGGTATGAAAAAACTTTTTTTTTACAGATTTTTCTTTTTTGGATTGAGATTAGATTCCTATTTAGGATTATTTTTATATGTGTCCTCTTTAGAATCTAATTGATCTTATGTATTCATTTAGTCCTTATGTTCCTTAAATAGTTGCTTACTATTATGAGAAATTTGTGACATATGTTGTCACATTAAATGGATTAACCATATTTCTTTTTGTTTCAATTTCAGATATGGCTTAAAGGAACGTGCTCAAATTACTCCAAGTGGGAGTTCTCAAAATCGAGCAAAAGGACTAGGTCGAAGAGCAACCCATCGTAAGATATGTTTCTGAGGACAAGAAGTCATACGGATTGGTATTCCAAAAGAGACACAAAGTATGTTAAGGAATGAAAGGACCATTCAAAGAAAAAGAGAAAAAGATCTAAGATATTTTAAGTCATTGAAGATGGATTCCCTTAGTTGTTTAATAGGATTCCTCCAGATCTTTGTTGTAAAAATTGAAAAACTTAATGAAAGTGACATTCAAGTCACAAGGAAGACTAAGATGTTTTGCATCACTCCTTGCCAGAATACTGTAAGAAAGAACTGAATGATTTTAGAATTGAAATTGGGGATAATGAAAATTATGGAAGTATTATGTATAAATAGGAGTTAAGTGGGTAAAACTTCACCAACGGTGTATCCACATATTCCTTTTTTATCAGAATAATTTTATTTTATTTTTTTATTTTTATTAAACTTTGAAGTGAACATCTTTAATCGTGTTTTTATATGAATATTTGAGTTTTATTTTTTTTTAAATTTGGATAAGTGAATGATTATTCTATTGCACAATATCATGTGGTGTTTAATAATTAGACATTTAAATTTGTGTGATTATAGTCTAAAATAAATTAGTGTACACACTAAGAAGTTAATTTCAAATTTTGGTTAAATATTTAACCCGTAGATGAAGTATCTTTTCGATTTTACATTTAAATATTAAATCTTTATGAGAATTGATTTGCTTGAATGTGTATGTCACATGCATAATTATTAAAATTCTTGCCTAATTATATTTTAATACAAGACATGGCATGCTAGAATAGGTTACATAGGGCAAGATTGAATGAATAAGTTGGAAAAAGAAGGACATTTAGGTTCTTTCACCAAAATTGAAATGACAACTTATGAAAATTTTCTTGCTGGAAAGATTATGCGTAAATCATTTGGGAGGCTAAGAGAGATGAATTTTTACTTCAATTAATTCATTATGATACTAGTTGTCCAATGAATGTAAAGGTAAGGTCTGGTGCTATATACTTCATTACATTTATTGATGATTTCATGCGCTTTCATTATGTCTATTTGATTTTTCATAAATCTTTAGCACTTGAGTGTTTTAAACGATATACAAATGAAGTTAAAATCAATTAAATAAAAGTATAAAAACTTTAAAAATCGATCGAGGACGTGAATATTTGTCAAAACAATTTGAAGAATTATGTACTGAAAAGGGTACTATAAGACAATTAAATACTCCTTATACACCTCAACAAAATGGTGTAGCTATTAGAAAGAATAGGACAGTATTAGACATGTCAAGATCAATGATGACGCTGACAAATTTGTCTATATCTTTATGGAGAAACGCATTATTGATTGCGACTTATGTATTGAACAAATTGCCTTCTAAGTCAATGTCTTCCACACCTTATAATTTTGGACTGATCATAAATCAAACCTGAATGATCTACGATCATGGGGTTGTGCAACATACATTAAAGGCCATTTTGGTGAGTTTGGTA